ACCACTTAGGTTAGCGTTACGGCGGCAAGGTCAACTCTCGACAGCAAGTAGAACGTGCTCCGATACCAATGTTACAATCCTGGCCAATTTCGAAGTCCAAATTTAAGAGAAAACACAATGCCGACCAATTGCAAAAAGAAATGAATGAACTTGAGAGGAGAGAGAGGGAAAGGAGAAGAAGAGGAAGAAAGAAAGAAGATGTACACCAGCAAAGACCAATGATAATTCCCGTCCTCTCGCAAACAAATCCCTCCTTTTTTCTCCTCCCCTCTTTATTCAAACAATAAATAATAATAATGATGAATGGCCAAACCAGAATAAATGTCTGAATCCCGCTTCTACTACAGGCACAGCATGAGGTCCACCATAGCCATGGCCACCCTTCTCCTTCCTCTTCATGTAGGCCGAGGCTGTGGTGGACTACTAGGGCCTTGCCCTGCTGTGCAAAAGACAACTCAAAGCAGCTATGCCCGCTGCTGTTCAGGCCGCCATGCCTGACTCTGCCTTGAAGCCTTCTTGGTGTGGCGCAACCCCAACTGCGGCTTCCAGATGCAGCGCCTAACAAGGTGATGAAGATGGCGCCCACCATAGGCAGGTAGGTACCTCGCCACTCTCCTCCCTAGCCCCCCCCTTCATCCTCCTCCTACCGGTAAAGCTCCACCATAGCTAAGGTGGAAGCTCCTGGTCTCCTTCCTCCTAGCGGTGCTGTAATGCTGTCGCATACCGATATGGTGCAGACTAGAAACAAGAACCGACCTCTCTCACATAGTACAGGATAGCACAGCGGAAGACTGAAATACCAATGATCAGACCAATCAATGTCGCAATGCAGACCAAACATACATCATCATCATCGCAAGGTGTGAAGGGGGCCTGGCGCTATACACAGGAAGAATGCGCCAGGCGCAGCTCATACACAGATGAGGAGGAGGGGGATCAGACGAAGAGGAGGGGAGGATGAGGATGTCGTCAACACCATGTCTTCGATATAGATCCCAAATAGTCCCCCATCCAATGTCTCTGTCCCAATGTCAAGTCTAAATCCAAATATCGTCAAATCCCAAAGTCACAAATCTCTCTCTCTCTTTCTCTCTCATAGTCTGCCGATACTGAGAATTCAGGTAGCTTGAGGGTGGGGGAGAGATGGTGGACTGGAGGAAGAAGAAGAATAAGAACTCTCTCTCCCTCTTTCTCTCTGTGCCAGGTACTAACCTGGGAAAGGTGACGCCTTGCTGCAGGTACACTGAAGACGAAGCTGGAGCGATGGCATCACAGGTAAGCTACCAGGTAAGTCCCCTGGCCTCCACCACTCTGCTCCCTCTTAGCTCTATCCTACAATCCTAGCAGCGCCCAGTGCTGGAAGACTACTCCGATGGTCACCTACTACCGCTGCAGCTTCTCCGGAGAGTGCCGCTGCTGAATGTCTGAAGACTGAATCCCAGCCTCCTAGGCGGACCAGCTATATATAGTGCTGGTCCAGCTGGGAGGCTGCCTTCACCAATGCCAAACGGCGCCAGGGCCTGGCGCTCAAAACGGTCTGGCGCCTAAAGTTGGCGCCCAAATTTGAAAAGGCCGAATTTGAAAAAGGGCCTGAAACGGCCTGGCGCCTACTGGGCCTATACCGGGTCTAAAGCCAAAATGGGCACCAGGGCCTACCTACGGCCTACCGACCTACTTGGCCTACCTGGGCTGAAACGACACAGGCCTGACGGGCCTCTACCTAAGCTGAACCGACACAGGGCCTGAAGGGCCCTGACCTAACCCCTGTCCTGCCTGGTCGGGCCCTGTGGGGGCCCGTGTTGTGCTCAGTATGCCACAAATGCCCAGTGCTCCTCCTCGCACAAGAGCTAACCGGTACCTCCTCCCTTTCGGAGGGAAACATCATTACAGACTCTGATATTGCCCGTACAGGCCCTAGACTCAGACTACTTGGACTGGTACCTGCCTAGACCTAGCCTACAACTACTGGGCATCTAAAAATGCCAAAGTTTTGTCTTCTGCTCAGCGTAGAGTACCCGACACATCTACCACTCCTTGGTGTGGTACCGGCCTAGTCTTTTTCCGTGCTGCCGCCACTTGAGTGTTTGAGTGTTTGTCCCGCTGCAACCCTCAATGTCACGGCCACAGGTAAATATACGGGGCCTCCGAAGCAAGCAAGGCCTTGCGGGTCACACACTCTCAGGCCGACACACAGACCATCAAGCACGCACACACACACAGACTTAGAAAACTCAGCAGAACGCGGGAATCTCAGCAAGGCATCCATTCCAGCGGCAAAATCAGAAATCAGCAGTGTTCTCAGTCTGTGTTTTGGCGGGTCATTACACGGATGATATTCTAGTTTGAGAGACTGTGCAGGTTCCTAAGCCACGGCCAGTGGGATCAACCGGCCTAGTCTTTTTCCGTGCTGCCGCCACTTGAGTGTTTGTCCCGCTGCAACCCTCAATGTGCCTCCCAAGCAAGCAAGGCCTTGBGGGTCACACACWCTCAGGCCGACACACAGACCATCAAGCACGCACACACACACAGACTTAGAAAACTCAGCAGAACGCGGGAATCTCAGCAAGGCATCCATTCCAGCGGCAAAATCAGAAATCAGCAGTGTTCTCAGTCTGTGTTTTGGCGGGTCATTACACAGATGATATTCTAGTTTGAGAGACTGTGCAGGTTCCTAAGCCACGGCCAGTGGGATCAAGACAACACAACAATGGTTAGTTTGCAAACATCCACAAGACAGCCCACGACAGGTAAGTACGCAGGAAACAGCAACAACACACACAGCAATCAGACAATTGTTAGCCGCTGCTGCTCCCACGCTTGCAGATGTCTTTGCGACCAGACACACGCCCAGGCGCGTGGCACTACAGCATTAACTCCAGCTGTACCTTCCGCCTGATTCCCATGCATGCAAGGCTTCTGTCCACCAGCCTGTACTTGTGCCAGCGGCTTGCCACATTAGCTCAGCAGTGCCCACAAGTGTGCCACATCAGAAGAAATGTGCCACATCAGCACGTCAATGGGCTCTGCATATGCCATGTCAGCAGTGGTATACCGCCTTGTCTTCAAGAAGGAACCATGTCAGCAAAATACTTCGTTACTCATTTGGAATGTGCCGCGTCAATAATGGTACCACGCTGCTCTTCTGGACGATGCCACATCAGCAATAGTACCTTGATTCTCTTCAGGGAGGTGCCACATTAGCACTTGTGTGTGCCTGCCTTCCACGTCAACATGAGGAAGCTGCCTCCTGCTCAGTAGCTGCCGCATCACTCCTCAAATGACAGCGTGTCACTTCAGCAAGGCAGCCAACCTCCTCGTCAGCTCTGAAGGATTCCACATCAGCATTTCTTCCTTTCTTGCCAGTCTCTCATTCCAGTGCAACGTTAGCAATATACTTCCACGTGGCACTAAATTTCTCTTCTCGCCGATGTAGTATCAAGAAGCAAATAATAATAGCGATAATGCCACTCTTCTTCTCCACAGACAACTATCATCATCTCTACGTCAGATGTCATAATCAGCAGCGCGCAATATAGGAGAATACCGCTTTGATACCAAATTGCAATGAACCCTATCTTGTTGAGAAGCAAGTCAGCAATGCAATAGAAGTCTGAACCCAGCGCACCTCATGAAGTCTCCGAAATCAATTACAAGTCCACGTCTCGATCATATGCACATTTCAAGAGCATCGTCCCATCAAAGAAGAGCATGAGAGGAGAGAAAGAGGGGAGGAAAGACAGAGAAGAGGAGGAGGAGAGTCTCAATAGTAATCAACAGTACAAGTATGTCTCTCTCTCTCTCTCTCTCCCACATCCACTTCGGGCTTCTCCCCTATCACTACCTCAGCAATGCGTATTCCCTCTGACGCCCTCTGACATAATTACTGTGCAGACCATCGCAAAGCGCCCATCCTCCCTCCACGTCAGCAAGAAGACGGAGGATGGCACAGCACTTCCTCACCTTTGTGGAGACCAGCAGCAGATCACACATGTTGTCGCCAGGTAATTCCAGGTAAGCTTTCCTTTCTCTCTAGTCAGTGTCACAGCTCTGGTCCTCCTCTTCCTTGCCATTCCTCATCACCTAGTCGACATCTATGCGGCTATGGCTGCGCCAACATAATGTCCCTCTAGGCTGGCACCCTCCAGAAGTCTCTGGCGCCAGCATTCCACTCCAGTAGCCTCACGATACAGCATTAGAATCAAGCCAGCGCAAGGTAGAATGCCTTCCCCAGTGTCTGACCCTCCTTTTGTAGCATTGACCAGTGTTGACTGGCGTGGACCAGTCTCCCCTTTGATAGGTGTCAACACTTCAGATTTGCCCGATCTCGACGGCCTGGATGCAGCCTTGAAGCAGCGGTACCTTTTCCCAATCGGGACTGGAATCTTCCGGATACCTGCAGACAACCATTGATGTGCATCCGATCCATGGCCGGGGCTGACTACGGTTTGACTTTGACTTTGGGCCTGCATTTCCCGTGCTTGGTCTGACTCTTGATTTTCCAAGGGTCAGCTACCTCACGTGGGGCCACTGGACGCTGTTTTTGACCCAGGCCCTCATACCCCTTGACCTATTTTTTCTAGACATTTCTCAGACTTGGGACGTGACCTTTGACCCCTGTATCTGGCCTTTTGACCGAAAGTGACGACCCTTGCCTGCGGCGGGGTGGCCATAAACCAGTTTATTGCATTTTTTTTTTTCTCCCTCTGCTCTTGGGCTGCCCAGGACCCTGGCCCGCGATCCTGCCAAGGTTTGATTTTTAAATGTTCTTTTCTATCTTCGATTTATTTAGGATTTATGAGTGACCCTCAGCCGAAGGTTGTTTGCATTGCAATTCTAAACATACTGTTTCCAGAAATGTTTTGAGTTCTCTCCCCCACCCCCTCCCTTCTTGCTCTGCGGCTGCCCAAGACCCTGGCCGACAAATCCACGTCCAAGTTCCGAGTGAAAAAATGAGAGAAAAAACTTCAAAAACTTGAAAAAAGTGGCTTTGTCATACTGACCCGAAATAACGGTGTCTCTCAGAGCCCGTTGCATGCGAGAGATAGCCTTCTCACGAGTGGGTGCCCAGACAATGAGCTGCAGACATTCATAAGGTAATCCAGGTCATCACAAGTTAAGAGACAACAAGTTGAATAGAAATGGAAGCACAGGACCTTCAAGCCTGTTTCACTTTCCTGGTCCGCAAGTTAACGTGCCAGCAGCTTGAACAACACTCAACCTCAAATGTGTATGTATTTGAGAGACGCATGCACGCGATTTGATGTCCAAAGTGGCTAACCTCTTACAATATCCTGATTGTACGGAAAAACAATCATTCTGCTTGGAGAACATTAGAAATGATTCTTGCAGTACCCAGTCGAGACTCGAACAATGAGTAGACAAAAACAAAAAAAGAGAAGCTATACTACAGACACCAAACTTCTTGTCAGTTTGAGTGGGTACTCGCAAGATCTCATCACTGGTCCACTCCCACTGCACAAACTATTGCTGAAGCATCTAGTGCATGCTGCTATCCGTTAACGGAATCTGTGTGTGTGTGTGTGTGTGTGTGTGTGTGTGTGTGTGTGTGTGTGTGTGTGTGTGTGTGTGTGTGTGCGTGCGTGTGTTTTAGATTTTCCCCACAACAGCCTCAATTCCACCCAGATGAATAGATTCAGAATCAAAGCAGTCTTTGTCCTATTGCAGACAACGAGAGCATTTGAGATGTCCAACATATTAAAGCAATTTTATAATTAGACAGTTTTTTGGTTTTCCTTGGGGTACCCCTTTCATTGTTCTTGCAGCTCCCCTTTTGCTGTGCCTCTTACGCACAAGGCTGCCCATGTTGATTTCTGTGTGTGTGCGTGTGTGTGTGTGTGTGTGTGTGTGTGTGTGTGTGTGTNGTGTGTGTGTGTGTGTGTGTGTGTGTGTGTGTGTGTGTGTGAGAGTCAAGATCCCCAAACGCTCTCTCTCAATCCATCCTCCCACCTCTCTCTCAATCCATCCTCCTATCATCACAAATCATCCATAAACAAAATATAGATATTAGATGAGCAATATAATAGAAGGTGCAAGGTTCCCCACGTTTGTGTGGTTGAGCGGGAAGTGCCCACACACCCGTCTGCCGCCAAAGCGGCACACTTGCACAAATAAACATGCATAGTTTTTACAGTCCATTAAAACTAAAGGGCAGAAGACAACATACCTAACACAGAAGGCTCCACCAGCAAGAGAACAACCAGAGGCAACCAGAGGCAGCATAGTCCGAAAAGACTTGGAGAGCCCTCCTAGTCAGTCCACAAGCACAGCAGCGCTGACACTCCTATTCCTCCCAACAACACACTCACGCAACCAATATCTTGATCACTCCATGGCTAAATAGTCCCCATCTGCTGTCTAGCCTCTGGAGTGTACAGAGTACCATAATCCCAAGGACCACAACATCTTCACGCGACACCAGGAGGGCTACTGATTAAAACACTCTTCCATGTGCTCTGAAAGAGCAGCCCATGGGAAGCACCCACAGCAAACACTTTCTGAGCCTCCTCGCCAAGACACTGTGGCCAGAACTCCAAGCATATATTCACAGAATCTCCACACGACACCAGGAGCACTACTGCTTAAAACACCATGGAAGCACCGCCATCTTCCATGTGCTTCAAAATGGCAGCCCGCGGGAGTGACACCCACAGCAAAGAATCCCTGAGCCTCCTCGCGAAGATACTGTGACTGTAACGAGTGCGAGGCTGACGGAGCCAGGGAGAGCTGAGGGAGAGGAGAGAGAGAGAGAGGGAGAGAGTGAGAGCACACACACACACACTCACTCACTCGACACGACTGAGGGACTCGACGGACACAGACACAGTGGCAAAGACACAAGGTCGAAGTCTTGGGTTCCAAATGCCGAAACAAGGGCAAGTCACACTGAGTACGAGTACAGCAGCTGAAAACTGGTCCGAGACTGGTCCCCGTACTGTACGGGGAGCCGGTATAAGTACCGGTGACACGTACGGGACCAGGGGCATTTCCGCAAAGCCCCGAGGGCAGAACTGAAAAATGCGGTATTTGAAAGTGGCGCCCGAATTGCAGCATGGCGCCAGTTGTCCAAAATCCGACAGTACCAAAGGAGGGGTTTGGAAAAAAGGGTGCCAGGCCGAAAACAGGATGCATCAAAAACAGCAAAAAGATAGACCAGGGGTCGAGCCCTGGCGGAGTCCGTAACACTATCCCCTACCTCTGAAAGGCAACGTCCCGGCTGCCAAAAAGCCAAGGAAACAAAAGGAGCTGTGAAGGATGGGACGGGGCCGATCACTGGTCGGAGAAGGAGAAGGGGAGTGATGCAAGTCACAGGGTATTCTGTCTGGTGTTCTGCACAGGTGAAGGTATGATGTAACTGGATGGGTCTATAGGGGAAGCTAAGCAATGTTCAGGGAGCAGGGGATTTCTATTGATGTTCTACTGGGTAGGGGAAATGATGTTCAGGAAAACAGGGAATTTCTATTGATGTTCTAGTGGGTAAGGGAAACAATGGTCAGGGGAACAGGGAATTTCTATTGATGTTCTAGTGGGTAAGGGGAACAATGGTCAGGGAAACAGAGATCTGCTAATGATGTTCTACAGGGTTGTCAAAGTCAGGAAAAAAAATAGAAATGAAAATGTTTGTTCAGGAGGCAAGGGCTGGTGTGTCCGAAGGAGTCGGAAGCAGAATCTCATGTAGGAACAAATTGTCCCAGTGTCTTGAAAGGGGATCTGCGGTCTTGATCAGGTCTTGGAGTATGTGGTAGAAGCGGTCTTCAGCGGCTGTGACAGGTAGAAGTCCAAGAAGCGTAACAGTAGTTCAAATGTCCGAAGTCCAAGTGCTAGGGCGCGTCCGGTACACGAACTGCAATGAGGTCTGATCTCAAAGATCCATGTCACAAGTTGCTGCTCCAGTAAGTCGCGAGTCGGGATGCCGGCCGATGAAACAGCATGGTGGCCAAACCAGCCGCATAATCTCCATGAACAGTGAGGCAGCAGGCCATCGTCCTCGTGCGCTTGCCATTAGATCCTTTATCGCCGGCGTCACGCAGGTTCATAGCACTGGACAAGAGAGACAAGGTAGTGGAGAGGACAGATGGGACAAGGCTAGGCGAGGGCAAGGGCAGATCAGACATCAGGAATCGGGGTCGAGGGGAGGGTGGACTGGGTTCAAGGGTGTGTGTAGAACGGGGTTGCGAGGTTGTAGCAAGGTTTATACAGGGGTTTAGGGGTTTAGGGTTGTGGTTACATGGGTGTCTAGGACATAGGAGTAGCACGATCATAGACGCAGACAAGTTTCATGGCATTCTTGAGATTCGAGAGAGGTTCCCATGTAGATTCGTCGTCGGGGTATCCGGTCCATTTGACTTTGTATTCAGTGATTGGTTCTGGGTGGTCAGATACCTGAGTAGTTCGTCGCCTTTTTTTTTTTTTCTTTTTTTTTTGTTACAAGTCCCAAATAATCCCTAGTCAAAATGTCTGAAGCCCAATGTCGAGTCTGGATCCAAAGGTCACCAATCTCATAGTCTGCTGATGCAGTGAAGTTAGGTAGCGAGAGGGTGGAGGGAGATGATGGACCAGACCCTGCGGTCGAAGCTCAAACAAAGGTTGTCTTGAAAATAGGCCAAAAATGGCCTGAGCTAAAACCCTGGTCTGGTGCCTACGTTTCAGGGTAGATGGATCTTATGAGGGCCTGAAAATGGCCCTCAGTTTTAGGCTGAAAAGACTCGGGGCCGGAAAGGCCCTGATTAAGGCTGAAACGACACAGGGCTGTAGGCCCTTGTTTTCAGGCTTTCAGGCTGAAAACAACAGGGGGCCTGTAGGCCCTTGTTTTCAGGCTTTCGGGATGAAAACAACACGGGGCCTGTAGGCCTTTGTTTTCAGGCTTTCAGGCTTTCAGGCTGAAAATAACACGGGCCTGAAAATGGCCCGTGCAGCCTGTTGCTATGATTGCTTCAACAACGAATTCAGGGCCTGTGGGTAACATGATGGGTGGAGGCCTAGGATATGGGCAGTCAGCGGATTGGGGTGGGGATTCATGATTTTCTTTCAAGTATTCGACGTGGAAGACCGGGTGGACGCGACTCATGTCGGGGGGGAGTTGGAGTTTGTAGTTGACGTCGGAGGTTTTTTCAATGATGAGGAAGGGTCCGAGCCATTTGTTTGAGAGTTTCTTTGACAATCCATGTTCGGGTTCAAAGCGTTTGGCGGAGAGCCAGACTTTGTCCCCTACTTTGAATTGCAAGTCTCGTCTATGTTTGTTGATCTTGTTTGCTTGTTGTTCTTGTGTTCTTTCGAGGGCTTCGGTTGCTTCTCTGAGGAGTCGATTCATTGTTGCTACCCATTCATTGAGGGAAGGGCAGGGTGTGGAGGGGTTGAGTTGCGAGGGAAGCAGGAAATAAGAGGGCAAGCGCGGATGGTAGCCAAGGTCAAGGTAGAATGGAGACATACCAACGGAAGGACAGACAACGTTGTTGTAGGCGATCTCGACGGTGGTGAGCAACTGATCCCAGTCGTATTGATGTGGATGACAGTACTTCCGTATGATTCTTTGGAGAGTATTCTCAGTTTGTCCATCGGTCTATGGGTAGAATGCAGTGCTATTCTTTAGTTCCATAGGCGTTGAAGAGTTGTTTCCAGAACTATTAGAGGAAACGGGGATCGCAGTCGCTGATGATATTCTCGGGGAGGCCGTGGTGGCGTGCAACATGGTCGAAGAAGAGTAAGGCAATGTCTTTGGCGGTGTGCGAGGTGGTGCAAGGAATGAAGTGGGCACGTTTGGTCAGGCGGCAGACAATGACGTAGATGCAATCATGCCCGCGGTCGGTCTTAGGGAGACCGCACACGAAGTCCATGGAAATGGTTTGCTTGAGGAGGTCAAAAGCGTGTTGGCGGCGATCAATCCAATTGAAGGATTCATCCTTGCGTGTGAGTTCGTGGAGAGGGTAAGAGATCTCGGAAAAGTTGCGAATGAACGGGCGATAATAGTTGGCAAGGCCGAGGAAGGAACGGAGTTGGAGGAGGGTCTTGGGCGGGGGGTACTCGACGAGGGCTGTGACCTTTGAGGGGTCCATACGGAT